CATGTTGTGACATCATTGCATGCCCGAGCATGCTCTTTCTTACTCTTTGGTTTATGAGGTTGTTTCAAAGTTAATGTGGAGAAAATAATGAAATGTTTGAAATTAAAGAGCTTGGTGTGGTTATTACTGAAAGTAATTTCATCTACAGCCCATACTACAGCCAGTACAGACTACATGTTGAGCAGGAAGTCTAAAAGCTATCTGCCCTGCACTTTAAGTCAAACTCATTTTACATGGTTTTACACATACAGCCCACTTTGGCCTTATGTGAAGTGGACCAGTGCAACTTCCCTTTCTGTCAGTATATAAGAAAAAGAAGTGCATGTGGTAAAGAAAGACTGCTGTAGTATATGAACGCAATCTGTCAACATGACTCTTTGGACTTAAATTGGAAGAACTAAATGTGTAAAATATAGAAATATATCACTTAATTGTTTTGGTGTCGTATCAATGGCCATAGGGAGGCCTTTAACTGTAGGAAAAGCTCTAAAACTTGTGAAAATACAGTTAAAAGTCTAACATGTCCACATTTTCCAAAGCCATCCATTGAGCCAGATTGGAGTCTTTGCTGGCCCAAATCTGGCCCCCGGGCCTTATGTTTGACGCCCCATTACTAAAATTCCAGTTCCTCAAGTGGCCACCTATAGACAATCCCCATAGACATGAATGTTAAAATGCCCAACTTTACAGCAGAAATAAACATGTTTAGAGTCTAGAACAGTGTCAGTCTATAGAGTTCATATCCTCATCAATGCCAACTGCGTGTGGGGTAATTTAAGGATAACTCACCTCTTTAAAGAATATTACAGCTGTAACCTTTGGCATGGCTGCTCTGACAAGTTGGTGTATTTTGTCTGACTACTAAAAGACCAACACGTTCTCCTTAATGCCATGTTATGCACAAAGTGTCCTCTGGTGTTGTTGTCCTGATGCAACTGCTGCAGCATTATTGTCTGCCATGAGAAGTCTTCTCCATTTCTGAGCCCACGGTTGGACCTTAGAGGTGAAGCAGTGAAATAAGCTGCAGGTATAAAATCCTTATATAAGCCTTTGGTTTAGATTTGATTGGGACACGCTTTTATTTTTTCACTTTTACTTACTACTTTGCTACGGCTGGGGAAACCTGCAGTCAGATGAGACTGAAGTAGTCACACAGATGAATGACGAAACATTTCTCCCACTTAAAACACTCCAGATGAACAAAATCTGCTTTTTGAGGTACTACTTTAACTTTGCTCATCTGTTAGCAAGAGCTTTGTTAGGCTTAGCCATTAAAAGGTAAGTGGTTAAGTTTAAGAGAAGACCAGATTCTAGTGTAAAATGCACTGTCATACAACAGTAACACTTTTGAAAGTGTCAAATTGAAACAGCCAAATTTGTCATGTCCTGGGGATGCAAATGGGCTGAAAAGACACTGTGAAGAATCAGTGTTACAGTTTATTGATTGAGTTTTAAGCTTTTGTATTTTTATATTTTTTTCTAGTCAATATTAACATTCCATTAATATGACTGTAAGTAATGCTAGTTAAGTTAGTTAGCTAGCTAGTCTGATAACCTCCCAACTCAACCCGCTCATCCAAATGTGGTGAAAAAAAAAATGCAACCAAATTCCATAGTTCAAAGCTGTAGGAGCACAGGTGGCGATATTTATTATACAATATGTGAAATATAATAAAAGCCCAGCATTTAACAGAACCATTAGCCTATACGGCTATCCAGTTTACTATCACTGTATTGGATCAGTTAAAGTAAAAAGGTCATATGATAATGGTGGGTGATATAATAAAAAGTTTTTAAAACAATGATTTTGAATAATAATGAGCTCAAAGTCAGTACAAAAAATGTTAAGTCTAAAGCTCCAGCAACACTTATCTTTATGTGGAGCAAGTTTTTGTTTTGCATTTGGCCCAAATGAAGCTTATGCAGCCTATTTATTTAATTTAATTTAATTTAATTTTACTTATTCAGTTTTTTAATTACATTTTGCTATGAAAATGTTAAATAACTGATTAATTGAAACAGGGAAATAGTCTGTGAAAATACATTATATAAGGCACAAACAGTTTGTGTTGTTCTAACAGACTTGAACGTTAATAATTGGTGTGTCCACTTTGAGGCTTCGCCACAGTCTGAACCTGAAATCTCTCCAGTTATTTCTTTTAGTTGTCTTCAGGAATATTTCTCCAGTCTTTCTGATGTACATTCGAAGCATTCGTATTTGGATGCTGGTCGACTCTTGTCAGGAACCCCCCCCAAAACAACCAAATTCCATAGCTCAAGGCTTCAAAGCTCCCACACCGCTTCCACGGTGTTGAAGGACGGGCGGCTGAAATGACACAGTCTCCATCATGTTTTATAGAAGGTGGAGACAGTCATACCGCTCTCCTGACCTCCTCTAAACAATGTAATGATTTAAATTAAAAGTTGGATTCCTCACTCCACAAAACCTACTGCCAACGATTTCCAGTCCAGTTCTTATATAATGTGGCATAACTCACTCTTTTCTTGCCACTTCACTTCCTTCAGATTGCTTCCTGACAGCCATGCTTCCAGTGAGCCGCCTATATCCAAAGAAACAGGTTGAAAAGTGCTTAAGGAAGCTGAAGCCCATGTTAAAAAGTCTGCCACCTTTGAACTAAAATACATGATCTTTTTCAGTTTTGATAAAAGGACACTATGGGCTCAAAATGTGGTCATAAATATTTTGTACTTGTAAATCAGTTTCGTATGTGTAAAAAGAATTTGTGTGTGCGTAACAAAGATTTGTGTGTGTAAAAAAAATGTGTGCGTGCGTAAAAAAGATTTGTGTGTGGACTTAGCCAAAAAAACCTGCAAGTTACAAGTACGAATTTTGACCCTATTTTTCTTCCTTTCATCTGATTGGTCAATGTCATGTCAATCACAAATGTAACAATCCAATCAGAGAACAGATGGGTTTGGCTGTCGGAGGGGCGCTTTTTTGAACTGCAGGTCCTTGAAGGGTGATACAGTTTGAAGCTGGAGGATCGCTATATAAATATCCGATAGCAGCTAGGTCCCCTAACTTTCAGTAGCTGTTGAAAGGATAAAGTTGTGGTATATCAGTGGTTAGAAATACCATTATTACTTTAGGATTAGTTTAACACAAAGTCAGGGCTGACCCGGGACCATTGTGTGAGGGGGGGGGGGGGGGGGGGGGGGGGGGGGGGGGGGGGGGGGTGAGTGTAGGTCTGTGCAGTGTGCAGCATAAAAGTCCTTTCACATTGGACGCAGAATGTGTATGGGCAGAAATCTGTGCCATCAGAAACTGAATTTGAATAAGTTAAATTTGAATTTGAATTGCTCAGATTGAATCTGAATTGTAACTTGAATAAATGCTTTTGAAAACTGAATTTGAATTAGTCTAATTTGAAATTGAATTTATGGTTTGAAAATGATCATCACTAAATTGAAATTGAATTTTATATTTTTGAAAACTTACATCCGGTTCCGGTTCAAGCGCAGATTAATAGAACTACGTTTTACTAGCGGACCGAAAGTGTTACTGACGGGAATCTACAGCGTCTTGAGCTGAATTAAGACTTCAGAAGTCATTCGTCATGTCGAATGACCAGCGGATAAACTCTCAGGTTGGTAATAAATGTATTACATGTATAAGAACAAGCGTCATGTTAACAAATGATAGCCGTAAGGTAACTTTTATGCTTATTGTAGCTGCTAGCTAAAAACGCTAATTTAGCGTAGTTTGCCCTGAATTCAGCTTTGACAAACAAATATGATCGACTGTTTCTAGTAGAATTCCAAAGTTGTCATCTTGGACCCTCTCAGAGTACCCCCTCTGTATGCTTGCAGAGACCCCTACAGTAGGGAAACATGCAAAACGGTGTCCAAACCTTTGTATTTTAGCTTTATTTATGTCTTACACAGCATCCCAACTCTTTAGCTAACTTAATAACTTTAGCTAAAGTGAATAGTTAGTCTAATTCATTAGTTTTGATCACAGATTTGAAGGTGTATAATGTGCTAACTGCTAACTAAAAGCAAAGGATCCAGAATTTGTTGCTGGCTGCTGGGCTCTGTGGGTTTTTGCAGCAGCTCTACCTGTACTAGATGCACCTGCTCCTTGTCTTTTCTATCTCTGACTTTATGTCCTCTACAAGAGTTTGTTTTTTTTGCTAGTTCTTCAAATGTTCAATAAAAACATGTATGCTAATTCATAACGAAGAAAGCTTTGTAATGAAGACTGTCATTTCCAAAACACTGCCCGCCCCCACCCCGCGGTCCGCAGCGCTGTTGAAAAGGCTGTGGAAGTCCCTGTATTAAACACGTAGACCTGTGACATAAAAATCACCAAACTCGGACGACCACAGACTGTTTTCCTTCGTGGTGATGAAGGAAAACGCTGGGTTGGCATGTAAAAGGGCATTTATTCCCTTCAAAGACCTGCAGTTCAAAAAAAGCGCCCCTCGACAGCCAAACCCATCTGTTCTCTGATTGGATTGTTACATTTGTGATTGACATGACATTGACCAATCAGATGAAAGGAAGAAAAATGGGGTCAAAATTCGTACTTGTAACTTGCAGGGTTTTTTTTGGCTAAGTCCACACACAAATCTTTTTTACGCACACACAATTTTTTTTACACATACAAATCCTGATTTACAAGTACAAAATATTTATGACCACATTTTGAGCCCATAGGACACAGAAGGTGATTCTGTGCTGCATACGGATCCCACCGTAATGCTGAGGAACCCATCAAACTCATCGTTATAACAATGTTTATCTTCCTCTTTGGCGGTAATAAAGACCATATTTTACTAAATAAACAGAATGCTTCTCCCATCTGTCTATTTATCTATCTAGACAGACAGGTTTTTTCCCCACGTTATTACTTTAGAAATAAAACTGTGGATTCTAATTTTTAAATATACTTGAGCAAATGTAGAATGTAAAAAAAGGAAGGCTGCCTCTCGCTTCCTGTGACACACAGAAACATGTTCTTCCTGTTGGTGAGTGAACAATATCAACAATGTTGAAAAATATGAATACATTGTTATTAAAATTGTTGCCTTTAATATTGATTTTGGGCAACGGTGCTTTTTTGGGGAAGACATTAAGTGAAATGAGCTTTATATTAGACAAAAGTATCGCTGCTGAGAATTTCACCTAACTTGTGCGGTTTTGTCTGTCGGTTGAAAACCATGGTATCAGTTGAGACTGTGGGGGTTCATGGTGTACACGACAGAGCTGATGAGACAGCGTACACAGTTGAAACACTCCCCCTACTGTCAAAACGAGGAAGTAGACTTTCTGATACGTTAACAACACCTTTTCGCTTTGTGGTGGATTGTAAACTCTTCCAACAATCAGCGAGAGTTATTTTATCTCCACCGGAGCTCGTTTTGGTTCCTCGGTGCTTCTCTAACATAGTATCGCAGTAACAGCGACGACAGCTCGCTGCGTGGCGGTTTCCGGTGTCCGTCCGTCTGCTAGAGGATGGCGTCCGGCTTCAACCGCATCCCTACCACCGCTGGTCCTCCGAGTCCAGAAAACACCGACGGTTTTCGACCAGAGGCCGAAGACGGCCGTGAAAAGCAATGCTAAGCACCTCAAGTAAGTTATCGTGAATTCATTTTTTTCTGAATGCGATTTTTTTTCTTTGCAAACGTGCGAGACTCCGCTGCAGGAGGCGGATTTCCTCCCGCAGCTTCGGGGAGGCCTAGTTTGATATGGGTCCTGCATACAGTGAAGGTTCATATCAAATGTTAGACCAGTATAAACGCTATTGTGGCCTGTCATGAAGCGGCATTTTGAAGCCAAAAAATATAGCTTAAAGCCCGTGGTACTTGAGTCGCTTTTGCAATGTTTGACTTACGACACGATATGCAGTTTATGACCAAGAAATATGGGAAGTTAGAGTGGTTTTCTAGTGAAAGAAAACCGGTATTATTTGCTAAGGAAGTCCAGTTGTTTAGTGTCGTTAGCTGTTACTAGTGGTTAGCTGTTAGCTTTCGCAATTGACAAGCTAACGTCGGGTAGCAAGCTACTCCCTGGAACCGAGGGGAAAAAATAATGAAATACGTTGTAAGAAAGCGTTTATTTTCAGGGCCAAGTAGACAAAACCTTGACTCGTAAACCACTTGCATTTAAAACATACTTGTAATTGGAAAAACTCGTCTGTTAATTTCCCGAGTTACGTTTCAGGAATTAGACCGAACCAAATAATTGTGGTTATGGTAATGCTCAAAGCTAGCTTAGCTGAGGGTTTTAGGGTTTTCTGGAGAAGTACATACATGCACTCTACATCTGCATTAGCTAACTAAATGTACGAAGTACTTTGACTTCTGTCTCTAGTATAAGTATGGGACAAGTTTTAGGCCTCAAATTTGGGGTATTTTTCAGTTTTTCCTCACCACAGTCTAAACCTGAAATTCAGGCAGGCTTGTTTTACTTTCTTGTAGCCAATAGTAAGTTTTGTAAATTGTTGTCGATATTGAGTGTTACATACTGTGGTAACTGCATACTTTAATATTTTACACTCCCTTTTGTGTGTTCGCTGGCCAATCATACTTAAATCTATGTTCTTCTATCCAAACAGGTTTTCTCTCCTAGTCTCAGAGGACACGTGTAAACAGAGATACTGCACTGAGCTCTTGTCAGTGAGCTCATTACCATTTTTGAAAACCACATCCACCATTCTCTCAGTTTGGGACTGAAATTCCCCTGTCATCTCCCGAGTGCTGAGCCCTTGCATGCGAAGTGGAAGATGACGGAGGCGTGGCAACAGCAACAGCATGCAGTGGCTCCACCCTCTGTTGTGCACACGCTTCCCCAAGGGACTGACAACCCTCTGGGTTGCGCTGTGTATGGAGTCGTCCTGCAGCCAGACACCTCCCTGCAGCAGCCCCAGCATGGCCAGCAGCATGCTGTTCAAGCTCAGCAGCCTTCGCTGCAGGTAGGGGGCGAGAGAGGGCACAAGTGCGGAGCCTGTGGCCACGACATATCTCACCTGGCCAACCCCCATGAGCACCAGTGTATGGTAACTCAAGACAGATCCTTCCAGTGCACGCAGTGCATGAAGATCTTCAGTCAGGCGACAGACCTTTTAGAGCATCAGTGTGTGCAGGTGGAACAGAAGCCTTTTGTGTGTGGTGTATGTAAGATGGGTTTCTCATTACTCACCTCCTTGGCTCAGCATCACAACTCACATGGCAACGGAAACAATCCAATGAAATGTTCCATCTGTGAGAAAACCTACCGGCCGGGTTCTGGGAACGCAACCCCCACCTCGTCAGCTGCCAACCCTCAGCAGCCCTCCACCGGGGAGACATCCGGTGGAGGCGCAGCAATCAGTGCCTCGTCTCCTCCTGCATTTGAGGCTTCTGCACCAGACAGGCCATATAAGTGCTCCGTGTGCCACAAGTCCTTTCGCCATTTGTCAGAATTGACACGTCACGAAAGAATACACACTGGCGAAAAGCCATACAAATGTGACACGTGCGATAAAAGCTTCAGTCAGTCTTCACACCTGGCACACCACCAGCGTACGCACAGCTCAGAGAGACCATATAAATGTGCTGTATGCGAGAAGAGCTTTAAACACCGCTCCCACCTCGTGCGGCACATGTACGCTCATTCAGGCGAGCACCTTTTCAAGTGCAATTTGTGCGAGATGCACTTTAAGGAGTCATCCGAGCTTCTGCATCATCAATGCCAGCCAGAAGGCGAGAGGCCTTTCCGCTGTGGGTCATGTGGAAAGAGCTTTAAGCGGCCGTCTGACCTGCGACAACACGAACGCACCCACTCTGAGGAGCGACCTTTCCAGTGCGAGGAGTGCCAGATGAGCTTCAAACAGCAGTATGCCCTCGTTCGCCACCGTCGCACTCACAAGAACCCAGCTGACCGCCCTTTCAAGTGCAACCTCTGCGATAAGGGCTTTCTCCAGCCATCCCACCTGCTGTACCACCAGCAGGTTCATGGCATGGAAAGCCTCTTTAAGTGCGCCTCCTGCCAGAAGTCGTTCAGTCAGTCGGGAGAACTTTTGCGGCACAAATGCGGCGGCGAAGTGGAGAAACCCTACAAGTGCGATGTGTGCGGCAAAGGTTACAAAAAGAATTCAACGCTGCAGCGCCACCAGAACTCTCACTGCACAGAGAAGCCGCTAAAGTGCTCGCTATGCGACAAGCGTTTCGTGTCATCCTCAGAGTTTGTCCAGCACCGCTGTGACCCGACTCGAGAGAAGCCGCTCAAATGCCCCGACTGTGAAAAGCGCTTCAGGTATTCGTCCGAGTTGCAACGCCATCGCCGCGTTCACACGGGGGAGAAGCCCTTCAAATGCGCAAGCTGCGACAAGAGCTTCAAGCAGCGTGAGCACCTGGCCAAGCACCAGAGCGTGCACTCGCGTGAGACGCAGTTTAAGTGCGTGTGGTGTGGCGAGCGTTTTGTTGACCTCACAGCCCTGCAGGAGCACACGGTCCAGCACACCGCAGAGGGCGAGAGTTTTCCTGAAGCTCCCTGCATCCCGTGAGCTGAGCTGCTGCCAAGCCCTGGGCAGGAAATGTGCCAGCCTCCACTTACTCATTTGTATTTTAGAACATGCCCCCATTAACTATGAGTTTTAGCATCAGTAATGTTAAGACTTGATTCATCCTCTGAGTAAAAGGTAAATCGCCAGAGGGGGTTAGGCTCCCTCTTCTCCTTTCCTTTTCTTTTTTTTAATGCAAGAGAAAGATGTATAATGTCAAACGTGGAAAGATCTTGATTTTGTTTAATACTGTGTGGAACCTTATCCTGTGGTTGCATGTGGTCGTCTGTTTTGTACCCGTTTGATTCTGTTAAGAAAGATGGCAGGAACGTCCCGATAGTTGTTTCCAGTACATGTGTAGGCTCCTCTGCAATCCGTGTGCCTTCATTTTCTGTTGTTTGTTTTTTCTGTTTTCTTTTTGTTTATTTTTTTTTAAATCAATCAATCATTTTGTGGTGTTTAATTTTATGTCCAGTATAGCGCAAAGAAAAGTCCTCCCTTCCAGCAGTTGGCTTGAGCTGCAGTATCTTTTCACATGCTAGGTCTTAGGTAGTATCATCTGTTTGTGCATGAATATTTATCACACTTTAATATCACTGTTGTATTATAGGTTTGATTTATTTAGAAAAACACCCAAGAAGAAGGAAAAAAATACAAGTGGATTGTGAAAATGTATAGCCAGTGTCCTATGAAATGTGTGTTGTTGCATCTTTGTATTAAAACAGATGACATGTAGGTAACTAACCTATACCTATTATGTCATACGAACACTTGACATGTGCAATAGAACATGCACAATGTAATATTTATGACTACTGATTAATGGCATAGTCTACTCTGTTATATTATAGATTGTGTGTATACGCTATGTAAACATTGAGAACTGTATAGTGCTTACGTTACCTGCTTTTCTATTTACTATGAATGAGCTTGCTGTATTTTGCAAGCACCTTAGTTCCATTTCCAGAAGGATGTTTAACCCAACAGGACTTCAAAGCATTATGTTGCTCACTTGCCACAAATTAGCTGCATTAGTTACTGTATGATAGATCTAACAAAAGTATTATTATTTTTATTGTTATTATTATTATTATTATTATTATTTTTCAAGAATTGGCCTTGTAATGTTTTCATGGGATTGTAGCCTCCCCTTGGTCCAGATCAGATGTTCAGCAGATTAATATGACTAGCCTCAAAGTTGCCACTTATGTGTTGGTTTGTACCAGGGATAAAGTTTAAAAAAAAAGTGTGTGTACCTTTAGTTTACTGTGTGGATTTCTATATTCTGTACAATCTTTGCAGTATATTTAAAAGAAGGATTTGGGGGTTTAAAAGATCACAAACTGGGATTAGCAATGGGAAAGTGAGATGGATGGATTGTGTGCCATGGTTAAAAGATCCTGGTGAGTCTGCTTCACGCTGCAGTATGGGGTTAGCAATTGTAATGGAGCACTGATTTACACATATGGATATCAAATATAGGCTCCTGTTCATACTGTATACAGACAATTAAAATAAACCACCCTTATGACAGTTAAAGTGTACAGTGTTTTCATCAGCTGTATTATCAGGAGAATGAATGAATGGATGATGATGATGAAGGTTAAAGAGGATCAGGGATGGTGTGACCTTTCAAGCCAACCATACATAAGGCAGGTTAACGTACATTCTACTTATAATCAGAATTAATTGAATAAATACGGCAGCGTTTGGCGTTTGAAAGGAGGTTGAGTGCTCAGAGTAGAAAAGCGCTATAAGAACCAGTCCATTTACCATAAAACTGAATCATAATATTCCAGCTCCAATGTAAACTGAATTTGCTTTGTACTGTCAAGTTTGCGTTGATGGGTGTACGTGGACATCGAGGTGAGTTTTTAGGGACAAAGGTGCAACTGTTACTAATTTATAATTGACCTGCTATTAAGACAGGGAAGCCTTTACAGTAGCTCACTGAAAAGAGATATATCCCATTACATTCCTCAGATTAAATATTAAAAAATAAAATTGACATGATATTCTGTCATTTTGTTTTTTATTGTTTATTTGCTGTTTATGCGTCTTGGCAGTCTTGTTCTTCCTCGTGTACTAACATAAATGTCCTGAAGTTGAATATGTTTAGAGTACATAAGCCAAATGCCAGTTTGTCTGTCAGTAGGGAAAGAATAACTGGGTATAAAGAAATACACGGAGAACTCCATTTATTTTTTTTAACCACTGAACAAATTGGGATATGAGGGTTTACATAAAATAGCTAATATTTACTAAACTTAGTTGAGCAGCGCATTCTTTTTAGGTATTGTAGGAATTGTAATTGTAGCTGTTTTTAATGTAATTTGGAAAATTCTGCAGTACAATCAACAGTAAATCCCTACTAGTTATTTATTATTATTATTATTATTATTATTATTATAAATTTGATTAGATCAACTTGTACTTGTAATCTGGTAACTGAAAATCATTTCACTTGTAGTTTGGATAAATTTACAAGATGGTGGTTTGAACTTGATGTGTAGTTTGGGGACAGTGGCTCTGACAAAAAGCAATTCAGCAGCATTACTGAAGATTGTAGTTGGGAGTTATGGAGAGAGATGTTAGGGAGACATGGGGGTTGAGCAGTTTGGAGACACTGAGGCGAAGCTGCGATGGTTTGGAAATGAGGGATAGTGACTTTATTGGACAATTGAACATGGAGATGCCAGGCAGGAGAAGAAGTAAACGAAAAAGCAGATACTCTGCTGTCACACCATCCGCTGCTTTATTTTAGATGCATATATTATATTAACATGTATTTGTAAAATAACGTTTAGTAAAGACTGACAAAATAGTTGATGTTGATTGCAAGTAGAAGGTAAAATTGCAGCAGATTTGTGCTGCAGTACTTGCCTATCCTGCTACTAAAAACAAACATAAATAAATGCAGATAAATGTTAAGCAGCTTTCAAAAGTTACTAACGGAAAATAATACGTGGGAAAATATTTTGTAATAATTACTCGTTTAAACGGGGTCTTATTTTTCACATCTAAATTATGTCGTTTAAGGCTTGCTTTACTTCCGGGTGACGTTGACTGTCTAAGGGAAGATCATCCTATTTCTGCTAACGAACCGCTGCTAGATGTACCCCCATCATCACCACCACCCCTCCAGTGAAATAACTATCACATCATTGACAGTGTGACTATCACACCCATTTCAATAACTTCAGACGTGCAGCAGCGGCTTCGGTCCACGAAGAGCGACGTATAACCGGAGCCAGCGAGCTAACTCTGATGTTGGGCGGACTTCCTCCGAGCTCGGATATTTCTACGACGAGGTTAGCAGGCTAACTTTAGCCCCGTTATTGATTTCTCGTCACAGAAATGTCACACTGACACACAGCCTGTGGCGTGTATGTGTCCCTTATGCATAAAGACAGAACAATCATCATCCATGGTCTTTGTCTTGCTCCATTATTGTTGACGTTTTAAGATTTTATGCTAAGGAAGCTAGCTAGGTAAACGTTGCTAGTTCGCGTTAGGCGTATGTTTCAGATATGCTACGGTAGTTTAGTGGTGACCAGCTGGACTGGATGCTACAGTTTCTGTTATACAGTGCAAATGTGGTTGGTGAAAAATCCACAGGGTTTGTCTTTAAGGGGAAGGTGTTTATGGCGCTGGTTCAAAACAGGCAGAGATGGATTATTAAAAACAGGCCTTTTGGGCATGAGCCCAAGGGATGCGAGGGTCCCCAGCACTGCACCTGCAAAATCGCAAATAGCTGTAGATTTAAAGGGGGAACGCGGGAGACCTGTACCCCCCAGTAAGTAAAATATCTGTATCTACAAAAATCTCCTGAAATCGTCTGATGTTCAATCATTTCTGAGGCAGGACCCTCATTTCCCCGTCTTAAATTGTGTTTCTCCCAATACTCAATCGAAACCTTTGCCCACCGCAGAGAGAGCAGCTACACAAACACAAAAAGTGCGAACATGGTGAAAAGGAAAGAAACACCCAAAAACACTGACAGGCTGGGAGGCATGTTTCTCATTCTTGAAATTCTTAAGACCAGTTCTTGTTGCTGTTCTTAGTGAAGAGAAGCAAAATGTTAACAACCACAAAGAAATTAACCAAAACTACTACAGATTTAAATAAATAAAAAAATAAAAAAAGATGTAAAAGTGACCCCCAAAACCACAAATGGATACACAGTGATAATACAAAAGGGCACAAAATGACCAGTAGTCAGAAAATGACTATAAACTGCTCTTACTCCTGAGAGGTGCTGACGGGAATATCTTTTCTCACACACACACACACACTGCAGCACTGAACATTTGTATGTATCACACAATGTACTTGCATGTGAAATTAGAGCAGGTCACAGTCTGGTGAAGTCCTTCCTCCTGCGTGTTTTACTCAGGCAGCACTTTTCCCTAAAGCAAATATGGCTTTTCCAGTTCTTTACAGTGCACCTGCATTGCGCTGTCCTGTCATGTGTTACATGTGAGAAAAGGCAACTGCACACAATTATCTGACCTGATTGAACCTGAATTGTACAGACTTTTTCTGAAAATCACTTTCAATAGCACGTTGATAAGCCTTTAATAGGGTTCCACTGTTAATCAGCTTTAATTTCAATCACAATTTTGGCCTCCCAGCATTAAATTAACTTGATTAACCGATATTGAAAATGCATACTTCACCAATATAATGCAAAGCAAAAGATAATCATGTGGTTCTTAAATTAATGCCAAAGATATAGTGAAGTCAACAGTGCTTTCAGATTTTATTTGGCCAAAGACGTGTCCAATAAACACCAGGTAACAAAGATTTATTGCCTAAAGATATGTGAAAGTCTTGTGCAGGTTTTGTTACTGCGCAAAACATGGGGAACTGTAGAAGGAACTCAAAGCTGTTGAGTAATTTTCTGCAAGTTTTATTCACATCAGGCAGGTACAGTGAAGGGAGTGAAAATCTTTCACCTTTGCTTGAAACAGGTGAATAAACACCTTATATGTCTGTAAAGAAATTATCACGAATGCAGCAGAATATAAAATTGGAAGCCTTTGTGATAAACTTTTTTTTTTGTCACATACACATATATTCTTTTAAGATATTCACGTGATGGAGGATGAATTTTATTTTGAAGTAACGATTTGTATATTAGTTGGAATGTAGCGTGACATGGATGTGGAAGCATTTGCATGTTAAAATTCTTATGTTTATATTTTGGCCATAATCATGGAGCTGTAGTCTCTGCTTTAATCTAGTCCAGGTGATTTTCTTCCTTTGTGGATGACTGAAACTGCCAAAATTTAAAAAAGAAACCACTCGTTTATTTTTATATCAAACTTTATAAAAAAGAAGGGAGGGGGTGCACATAAGACATCTAAAATTGGTAAATGCAAAGATCAAATAATATGTGAATGAAATAGGAGCTTTGGTGAATAGCGAGATGAATTCAAGTATATTTACAAAGTGAAATGAAGAAGCATAAAAACTGCTCAGCTACCACAGTTTCTTCAAAAACACTTAGCATGTGATTTTTCTTGTGTATACTGTGTCTGGATTGTTGTGGTACAGCATCCAGCAGTAGTCGGCCATCATGCTACAATTCCTGAAACCTTGGTAGTGACGCTCTATTAACTGAATATCCTGATGAAAACCCTCTCCCTGTTCATCGCTCACCATGCCAACATTTTCTGGAAAGAACTCAAATTGTGAGTGCAGGATGTGTATTTTCAATGACATGCGACAGCCCAGCTTCTGGTAGGAATCGAGCAGATGCTGAACTTCTTCCTTGTATCCAGGAGACTTGTGGATGTCCAGAAAGCTTTTGCAGAGCCACTTGAACACCACCCAAGCTTCAAACTCAACTGTTGAGAGAGTTTGTTTGTACCTTTCATCCTGCAAAGCAGACTTGCTTTCTTCTTCTGGTGACCTCCTGGGAAGTCCTCATCATGCCGCAGGCAGTTAAGAAAGTTGTGAATAAAGTTCCTGCATTAGTCGGCGCCGCTCTTACATACTCCAAACCCCGGCTAGCGACTTTCTGGCACTACGCCCGAGTGGAGCTGGTCCCACCGAGCCCAGCTGAGATCCCCAAAGCCATAGAAGCTGATGGGGTGGCTGTAGCTCAGGTGGTAGAGCAGGTCATATACTGATCGGAAGTAGAGGTGGGAATCACCATACATCCCACGATACGATATTATTGCAATTTTTTAAAATATTTTGTGATATTCAGATTCTGTACATAAAGGTAAACTTTATCAATATTCATATCTAATATCAAAGTCTCACACTCAGTCTTTCTCTCATTTCAGTCAGTTTTATTGTTGACAAACTGAACGGTTTGTATTACAGTCTAGTCCAACTTAACTGAATGCAACCATCTGGTACAATTATAGCTATTCTGAACTATGCAATTTATGAAAACTATGCAGCCCATTCAGCAACTGAAGAATTTGAAAGTAAATTAAAACAAAATATAATTTTACATTAAATAAAAAAGTTTTAAACTTAATTAAAATAAAACATGTCTTAAATTAAAATAAGTAAACTGTCATGTTTATTGCTGCCAAAAAAAAGTTAAACACATTTGGACAGTGAAGGAATGTCAGGATTCTTGCTCAGAAAAAGGAGCTGATCAACATGCTCTGAAGTCAGAGTCCACAAAAACTTTTTTTGTAACAAAATATCGATTTCTGCTGTCCCTGTATCGATACATTATTAGCAAACAAAATATCACGATACTACACAGTATCGATTTTTTCCCCCACCCCTAATCGGAAGGTTGGTGGTAGGGGTGGGCGATAGAAACGATATAAATTTGGCCAACAATAGAGATTTTGACTGTACCGCTCTATCGCGATAGCGCATGTTGATGATGTCATCAAGCTGCGCCTGTTTTGGTCGAAAGCATCGCAGTGGCTACAACCATTATCATCTGCAAATTATCCGGGCAACAGTCATAGCAAAGAGATGAAGCACTTTTGAAATATGGGGAAAGCCAAAAACTG